AGGAATCATTCTGGCGTGATTCTTTAATGGGGGGGGGGGGCGTAACTGCAGGGAGCTCAGAGCGTGGTGGTCGCGTGTGGTGCCCGTCGCGTGCATGTAGCTGTTTGCAGTGTGCGGATCGCTGTAGCGGTGGGGGAGGGGCTCTAGCCGAAGGCAGTGTCTCGTCTTATTTACACGTCTGCCCTGGGTGATCGCTGTTGCCCTTTTGGGTGCGAGGTCGCGCTCAGAGACTCTGGCACACGGCTCGTACTGTTGACAGCCCATTAGCTGCTGCTGCTATATTTGATTAAGTTTGATGCAATAAGGATCCCAAATAGGAGACGGAGCTTGGAGCTTGGGGGACATGCGTGTCTGGGACTGGACCTGGACCCCTACCGGCTCTTACCCGTCTGCCTTTAAAATGCCGCTGGGAAGCATTGCAGAGGAGATCTGCAAGGTCTGCTCTCTTTTCAGGCCTGCGGGGTATCCTGCCCGGTCCTGGTGTTTCCTACTTAAAAGGCAGTGTGGCACCGCCCGCCCCCCCCCTCAGACGCTACCCCTGCTTTCATATCATACATTTGTGTGCCTGTTTAATTCGAGGTAGCCCCAGACTGTTAGAATAGCCCACCTGACCCGTTTTAGAGGATTGGTCAGTCTGGCTGGCAGGTTGCCCCCCCCCCCCCACCTACATAATCGCCTCGCTTTGTGTGTTTGTTGGCATCGCCCATGAATCCCCTGGGGGGGGGTCAGAGACCCTCCCCCCACACCCCCACCGTAATCTTTCTGCTCCCCATCTGTGATTCGGTGCCTCGGTCAGGTGACGTGCTCTCCTGCGGGACGTCAGGTAACGACTGGCAGCTTCCTCGTGTTGGCGCGGGACCCGGAAAATGCCTCCGAGTCTGCAGGGAAGCCGCCAGTCTCCCCAGTGCGCTGAGGGTGTCAGGCGGTCTTGGCCGCCTGCCGATTGGCGTTGGCATGGTGGTTTGTCATTTCTAGTTAAAGTGCACAGAAATGGAACATTTTGCCTTGATGATTTGCTGTTCAATCACATTTGTAAAAGCCCCTTTTGGGGTTTTTGAAGACAACTGTTCATGCCTGTAATTAATAATTAGGGTGCCGTATCTTGATGAGTTGTTTATGCGCAAAAGCTGCCCGCTGATTGGCTGCTGGCTGTCTGAGTTTGCACATGTCATTGGTCCTCGACCTCTGCGCGGCGTTCCGCAAGACTGTGATCTTAGTAGTGATTAAATCTGTCTCCAAATATGGGCAATCTCTGTTCTTCAGTATTACTCTGTTCTCATTTTTTTTTTTTTACCTGAGATGTTTATTTAATTTTTTTTTTTATTTATTTTGGCTTTGTTTTACATAGTTCTTTTTCTGTTTTATTTTTGCACGGATATGTGCAAATTTCTTTCTAGACTTTAAAAGTTTTTTTTTTTATGATTATTTTTCTTTTTGTTTTAAAGAATTTTTCCATTTCGTTATTTTATAGCGGACCATTAAATCCAGTCACCTTAACATTAACGGGATGTATGTATGTATGTATGTGTCTTTACTATGGAAATTGAGCAGTGTGGGGACCGGGGGAGGATACGTAGGCAACTTGCGGTTTTGTTTTTCAAGCTCGTCTTTGTAGAATGAACTTGATGTTTTCTTTTCTGAACTGTGGCACAGGTGAGACATTGTGCATCAAACTGACCACTTTCTATTTTTCTTTTGTGAATGGAAAATAAAAGGTTTTCTACCAAGCTGGGAACAAAAGTGTATTTCTTGATGGAATCATCCACTGGGTGTGACTTCTGTGCTTTGCTGGTAAGAGTCACACGCGCAGTCACACATACATAAAGCACAATGCACACACACACATGGTCCACGTATTCATATCTTCTGTGGGAAAAACTAATTGCAACTAAGGCAACCTTAACCCCTACCCAGCTCTAACCTTAACCATAAGAAACCAAACAAAAGTCAAATTTTTAGTTTTTTGGTTGCAGTCATAGATTTTTATAAAATTCAAGTTATCCTTGTAAGGACTGAAAAAATGTCCCCATAAAGTAAAACGCACACGTGCACACAGAATGGTTTGCCAGTCAATGCTCAGACTGCCGAAACGGTTTGAATCTTTAAATCTATTATTTCAGTTTAGCTTACCCGCAACTTAACATGTAACACACTAACTATGGCTGCTGGTGCATTTTTTTTTTTATCTACTATGCTTGTTTGACTCCATCGAAGTGTCCTTGAGCAAGACACTGAACCCCAAATTGCTCCCGGTGAGCTGGTTGGCGCCTTGCATGGCAGCCTTCGCCACCGGTGTGTGAATGTGAGTGTGGATGGTGAATGTGAGGCATAACTGTAAAGCGCTTTGGTACTCGTAAGAGTAGTAAAAAGCGCTATATAAATGCAGTCCATTTACCATTAATGTCAAATATATATGTATAAAAATATATTTAACTGAATAAATGACCAAAAACACCGTGAATCGTTGCTGGGATTGGCGTTTAATTAATGATTATGTACACCAGAGGGCGCTTCTGCACCGTTTACAGGCCTTTACAGAGTATGCATTAATTACTGCTGGATTTTAACTCGTGAATTGTTCTTCATGTTGTTTTCTGCGTATAATATCCCGTATCATTAATTCACAAGTTTCAAAGGCTTTCCAAGTAAGTAATATTATGAAAACAAGGCATGGAGTTAATAACAATACTTTAAAAAAAAACTCCTGTTACTGTTACTCCGGTAAGAGTAACAACACAAACAAATGCAGCGTAGGACAGGAATTTATTAATGCAAAGTCTATGTTAACTTGTCAGAAGGCAAAAGTATATTTGTCTAATATTGTCTGCACATTACAGTATAATATATGAGGTCAAGTTAATCAGAATTGTTACCGAATTTCCATACTTAGGACCGTGATATCTTACGATGTCCGGCAGAGTTGAGTGGGTCCTGTAATGAGAAACTTACCTCGCTTGCATAAATAAACATAAGGTCATAAATCTTACACGTGTGGCTGTAAATCTAATCTCTAGCGCCTTGTGCTGATTTGGTCCGACTGCGGAGGTACGTGTCGCTTTGGAAGTGCGGTGCCGCTCAGTTTTAGGAGAAACTACAAATCGTGGATCAAAGCCCAGGCTTCTGTTCACGTCTGGGCCCCACTGAATCATTCTGGGGGGATGATTAACCTTCCAGGAAATTACCTGACTCACTTAGTCAGGTTGTGTATTCCACATCAGCATGACGGTTGTGATACTGAGGCTACTTTATTCTTTTTTTCTTTGTTTATCTTCCCTATAGTAGTCATATGCCAGGCATTGCATAAAACAGCGATTCTAAACCCATATTTTGGTTGCGGCAACTTCTGAAAGGGTCGCGAGGCAGAGTTAGAAATGTAAGTATTTTAAAACCAGAAAGCTTCTATGCTGAACCACGATCAGATTTCCCAGCCCCAATCCTAGAATTAACCTATATAAAGGGATCGTGTGTCTGCAAGTACTTAAACCAAAAT